TGCTTGCTTCCAGGAATGAATTTGGGAGTATTGCTTCCCTTTCAATTTCATTGAAGAGTTTAAACAGTAGTGGTAGCAGTTCCTCTCTAAATGCCTTGTAGAATTCAGCAGTGAAGCCATCAGGATCTGGGCTATTCTTAATTGGTAAGTTTTTAATTACATTTTCATTTTCATTGGCTGATATTGGGTTGTTTAGAATTTTTAGGTCTTCTTCATTCAACTTTGGTAATTCATATGTATCTAGGGATCTGTCCATTTCTGTGTTTTCCATCTTATTGGCATATAGGTTCTGGAAGTAGGTATTGATGATCCTCTGGATTTCTGTTGGATCTGTTGTAATTTCACCCTTTTCATTCCTAATTACATGGATTTGGGCCTTTTCTTTCCTTTTTCTGATAACATTGGCTAAGGTTTTGTCAATTTTGTTTATTTTTTCAAAGAACCAACTCTTGGCTTCATAAATTTTTTGTATCATTCTCTCAGTCTCCATTGCATTGATTTCTGCTCTATTCTTCATAATTTCCTCCCTTGTGTGAGATTTCGGTTAGTCCTGCTCTTCTTTTTCTAGAAGCTTGAGATTCAGCATCAGGTTGTGTAATTGGGCTCGTTCTGTTTTCCTAATATGAGTATTCAATGCTATGAATTTCCCTCGTAAGACTGCTTTCATTGTGTCCCATATATTCTGATATGTTATATTGTCATTGTCATTTAATTGTAGGAACTGCCTGAGTTCTTCTTTGATTTCCTCTGTGACCCATTGTTTATTCAGAAATGTGTTGTTCAATTTCCATGTTTTTATGAAATTTTTCCAGTTCCTTTTGCTATTGATCTCCAATTTCATTGCAGTATGATCTGATAATATACAGGGATTAACTTCAGTTCCTTTGCACTTAGACACATTCTATGAGTGAGTATGTGGTCTATTTTGGAGAACAACCCATGTGCAGCTGAAAAGAATGTGTATTCTGATTTTGTGGTGTGGAACACTATGTGAACATCTGTTAAGTTCATTTGTTCAAGAGTTCAATTGAGTTCTAGTATTTCATTACTTATTTTTTTGTCTACTTAATCTATCTATTTGTGACAATGGAGTATTGAGGTCCCCCACTACTATTGTATTAGTGCATATATGACTTTTCATGTCCGTTAGTATTTGTTTTATATAGTTGGGCACACTAGTGTTTGGTGCGTAGATATTTATGATTGTCATCTCTTCCTGTTGGACTGTTCCCTTTACAAAGATGTAGTGTCCTTCTTCATCTTTCTTATTTAGTGTTGGTTTGAAATCCACTTGATCAGCAAAGAGGATAGCTACTCCTCCTTTTGTTTGGGTTCCTGTTGCATGGAGTATTGTTTTCCACCCTTTAACTTTCAATTTATGAGTTTGTTTTTGAATTATGTTTCTTGTATGCAGCATATTGTTGGATTTTGCTTCTTGACCCATTCTGCCAGTCTATTTCTTTTGATTGGTGAATTGAGACCATTAACATTGATGGTTATAACTGATAAATATTGACTTGTCATTGTCATGACTTTTTATTTTTTTTGGATTCTTCCCCTTTACATTTAATTTCATGTTGCACCGAATGGATTCATTCTTCTGTGCTTCCTGGGGTTGTGATCCTCATTGTCTTTTCCTAGGATATTGTCTAAAATTTTTTGGAGTGCTGATTTGGTATTCATGAAGTTCCTAAGGTGCTCTTTGTCATGAAAGTATCTTATTTCTCCATCAATTTTAAAAGATAGTTTTTCAGGCTACATCAGTCTGGTTTGAAGGCTGTTTTCCTTTAGGCCTTGGAATACCTCAGTCCAAGATCTTCTTGCCTTGAGGGTTTGCGTTAAGTCTGCTGTGATTCTAATGGGCTTTCCTTTGTATGTGATTTATTTCTTTTCTCTAACTGCTTATAGAACTTTGTTCTTCTGTTGGGTTTCTGGAATCTTAACAATTATATGCCTATGGGTAGTTTTCTTTTGTTTTTGTTTTTGTTTTTTGATCAAGGCTAGTTGGAGTCCTATATGCTTCACTTATCTGTCAAATTCTTTTCCCCTGTTTGGGAAGTTTTCTTCCATCACTTCTGTGAACAGTATTTTTATATCATCTGCACTCTCTCCTGTTTCTTCATTGACTCCCATCAGTCTTATGTTATTCTTCTTTGAATCATCTAGCAGCTGCTGGATTGATTCTTGTGGTCCCTTACAATCTTGAAGCAATTTTTCTTTTCTTGATCACTAATTGCAATTTTATCTTCTACATCTGAAATTCTGTCCTCATATTGGCTCATTCTGCTGTGCAGACTTTCAATGGAGTTTTTAATCTCCTGGAAATCTGTTTGTATCTGGTTTATGGATTCCATTTGTTTCCTATGTTGGGATTCCATCGCTTTCCTCAGCTCGTCTATTTTTTATCTGTGTCCTCTCTAGATTTATTAATCATGTCTTGCACTATGGGCACAATGTCTGTTGTTATCTGAGAAATTATTTCAGATTTCATTTTTTCCAGATCCTCTTTTGTTTCCTGTTCAGGGAATCCAGGTGGTTGAGTATCAGAGTGTTCCATCTCCTTTCCCTTTGGTGTTCCTGTATTTTATCCGGAAGTCTGGTTTTGATACTTGTTTACCTGTCTTCTCGTTTTGATGTGTGAGGCGTACTGTTGGTGCCCCCACAGCTCACCTCCTCTGTACTGCGAGTGGTGGAAAGGTGACCATGAAGCCCCTTCTTCTGTGCTTGGAGTCTTGGGAAGGTGGCCCAGATGCCCCTACCTCTGGGCTGGGAGCAGTTGAACCAATTTAACTTACAATTTAAAAGAGTAATAACAATGGTAGTCATATGCCTGACTTTAGTGGGCACTCTGTATGTGCAATTAAAGGGTTTTAAATAGATTTTAATAAATTATTTCATTAATCACTACAACTATCCTATGAAGTAGAAACCATTATTTCTCTTTACATACAAATTAATTGAGGTTCAGAGTCAAGCAGTTTGTCTTAGGTCACACTGCTTTTAAGTAATTCTGAACTTGAATCCAGAATTGTCTAACTCCAGAACCCAAATCTGTTTCATCACTGAAATGAATGAGAGTTCAAGGCATAAAGTGAGTTGACAGAATTGGTGTTAGTAGACCCTAGAACCTAGGTCTTCTGAATTCTAATCTAGTGCTGTTGTCATACTCCATGAAGTTTCATTGTATAAACAATCTCAGACTACATATGTAACACAGCCTCACCTCACCATAGTGCAGTGTGAGCATATGGTTCTCCAGGCAGCTCATGAGCTCTGCTCATTTGTGGCAAGAGTGACTTATCCATGCATTAAAATATCCACATTGAATTTTCTAAAACTTACTAAAGATTGTCCCTGATGTCCTCCATATATTTTCCCAGAAAGATTTTTTAAATATCCGAATTGTGTTCTTACACCAATAGTATATACGTACCATATATCTATATCTGTATCTGTATTTATAGTAATCTCACAGTTTATGCCTCATTGATCTAACATTCCAGTGAATAACCCCAAAACCCAGCCATCTTCACATCTGGACCCCACCCCATTTCTGCTGTGTTTTGGAACACTTGGAGATCGCCCATACAAATGAAATGAAACAAACCTTTACTTCATACCATTTTTATTTTTAAATATACCTCTAATGACATTCTTTTTTACTTTCTTCTATGTAATGAGTAAAAAGTTTTCCCTTTTTTATGCTGTGCCACACACAGAATTGTTTTTCTCCCAAGATGAGTGTCATGAGGTATATACATACTATCAGCTGATTACCTGTGGGTCCCCATTCACTCCCACTTCTTTCTGTTAATCTGAACAAATTTCAGGTGTATCATAGAATTTAAAATTAATTTTATTTATCATTGCTACAAAATTAATAGAGTTTAGAATACTTTTGGTATATAGTTGGGACTATATTAAATCTATTTGAGAATTCTATGAAATCTTGGAATAGTATCACCTTTAGTAATTCTATATTCTGCTCACTTTAGGCTCAAGATACTATTATTAGTTTGATAGAACTTTAAGGACTTATAAGACTTTTTACCCCATAGACATCGATTTTTACCCCAGCCTTTGGATCAGAAACTAAAGTCAGAATAAACAGTAACATGAGAACTGAAGAAGTAATCAAGCAACTTCTCCAAAAATTTAAGGTAATCTTTACAACTAAACTGAGCTATAAATACCTTGAACACAGTTTAACAATAGACATATAATTTCAATCTTTTGAAAAGACTAGTGAACATGTAAATATAAATTTGATGTCATTTCTGAAGGATTCTTTCCTGTGTATAATATGTTACTAAATATGCCCTGAAAAAATCACGGTATTTCCAGGAGAGCACAGAAGGTTTCATATCTGCAAGTGAAAAAGTAAGTGGGCACACAGATGCATAATTTCAGTCTGATTATCTTCGAAAACATCAAATGACAACAAACCAAAACAAAAAAACACATTTGTTCATTTTTTCCTATTGACAGATTGAGACTAGTCCTCGGTATTTTGCTCTGTACATTATTTTTGCGACGGGAGGTAAGAAAGCTTTATTATTCTTTGTGCCTGGCTCTTTGTGTGTTGGTTTTCTGCCCATGGGGATGACAGAAGATCAGTTTACCTCATTTTGTGGTGGGCAAAGGGATGAAGGATAAGATGAAGGGGAGTTTCTTGCTGTTTTGTGGAGGGGGGTTGCTGGGGTTTGGAACTGAACCCAAGAGCTCACACATGTCAAACACATACTCTACCACTGAAATGGTTTTAGAATGCTAATCATATTCCTTAATTTCAGAGAAAGATAACCTAAAAGTAACCTCAAGACATTTTGTATTTTTATAATGCAAGAGAGTTTACTTGTTAGCCAGACATTAAATTAATTGAATGGAATCCACTGAAAATTCTCTAGACCTGGGAGGCACTTGTATCTTTGCACTTCTACTTTCTGGCTTCACCCCCCTCTCTGTAGCTCTTACTCTGGCTCAGTCATCATTACATACCATTTTCCTCTGAGCTTAATGTTTCCTCTTTCTTCCTGAGCACAGGGACTGACATGCTGAAGTTATATTATCTTTTCCTCAGGACAGAAATGTGTTCAGAATTTGGAGGGGATGATCTGGGCTTCACACAGGCTAGGCAGGCCCTCTACCACTGATCTACGTCTATTGCCTGAAATCTGTGTTTTTAATAATCATACCAGACGATCATGACCCAGGCTTATTCCTCTGTAATATTAAGGCTGGAATAAACTAAGGATACTAAACCAAGTTAACATACACCTAGAGGTCAAAAGAAGATTCTAGGGTATTGTGAAGGCCCAGTCCCCCCAGGGCCCTCTGGAGAGAGATCCATTTAGTTAATATAGTATAGTCCCTATAGTCTCTTTAGTCCATATACTAAATTAATTAATTCCCCAATGAAGAACAAGAGGCAGAGACAATCATTAGAGTAAGGGCAGTATCAGAGCGGAGCAGAGTTGGAAAATTTGCTCCAGAGCTGCATGTCTCTATTCCTTCAGCAAAAAGAGCTACAGGACAACTATAGTGCTCTTTAATTCACAGCCATTACAGTGCTTTATCATATATTGAGGCATGCAGACAAACACCAGCTGCATAATCTTGATCATGCTGCACATGCATTGTTAAGGATAAGTCATTCTTATATAACTGTGGCCCATTATGTGCATGTCCCTGAGAGCAGAGTTTTGTCCTTAAGTGTCCTCAGGTGCACTTATGTCTCCCAGGCTTAGTAGAATCAGAAGTGGTACTCCACAGGCACCATGAGAGGAGCTCAATTATCAGGATTGTCCATTGCTTCTGAAATGGTAGGGAAATTAAAACAATGAATTCTGACTTCATGGAAACAGCAGTTTGTAACGTCACTCTAATTGTCCTGATGCTTTTGAGTTCTAGACCCTTGCTTGACTTTTTTCCTGGGATAAATTCAGCCCAGAGGGTGAGAACAGTTTTGACTCCAAGGAAAGAAGCGAGCAGTGGGGGGGAGAATGAAAAAAGAGGATGAATAAAAGGGCACTGTTTTCAATGCTTCATTTTGATAAAAAATGTAGTCCCAGATGGGAAACTACTTTGACAGAATGCTAGGAGTGCTTTTTTGGTGGGAGTATTTGTATGATAACTTTAGGAAATTTGAAGTTATAGGAATATACCAAATTTTCTTTTTCTATCTCATTTTTATAGCTGAATGGATAAAGCCCATAGATGAATGAAATATTAAAAGCATTGAAAACAGTATTACCTGTCATTTCAGGCATCTACCATCCATGGAGCCTTGGAACATATTCCTCATGGATAAGGGGGAATGACTGTCTCTTTTTTGAGGAGTGATTCTAATTGTTTTTGTTTCAGACCTTATTTGTTTCAAAAGAGATTAAAAAACAAATGGGAAAATTCTTTTTCTTTTTTTTTCCTAGAATGACTTCCTGATTGTGATTGATTCTTTTTTTCTTATCTGCAGAGCAGAGACAGCTAAATAAAACAGATATTCCGCTACTGCAGAGGCTTCTACAAGGACCTTCCAGAAACAATGCTCGCATTTTTCTCATGGATAAAGATACAGAAGAAATTAGTAGTGATGTATGGACATCACCCTAAATCTCTTTGCTTCTCCTTCCTCACTCAGCACATTTCATAAATGCTCTGCTTGCTTCCCCCCTCCCTCCCCAGGTGGCTCAGTACATTAACTTTCATTTTTCTCTCTTGGAATCCATTCTTGAAAGACTAAAAATGAAGAAGAGAAAAGAGAGATTCAAAGAACAGTAACAAAGTAAGTCAAGAGTATGCATCTGGGTATGTGGTCTTTTAATAGGTTCAATGCACAAAATTTGTCCAATTTTTTAATGCTCTTCTTCTCCTCCTCATTTTCAGATTTAATACAGAAAAAGCCATTCTACTGAAATGTCTTCAAAGTAAACGTGCAGTAAAAACAGAGACAACAGTTTAGCAGTACAAGCTTCTATTGCTGTATCATTTCAAAACTGTTAGGAAATGTTACTATTTGGTGAATGCATAAGGTCCAAAGTTGCATTCAAATATATACGACCTCGAATCTATAGAAAACTAAGAATCAGAAGAGCTTGTTTCTCTTTGAAGTGATGAGTTAACTAGATTTCACAGGTAAACTAAAATGAGATTGAGTTTAGTTTCAGTAACTGAAAACATCTTGGATACTGTGTATACCAAGTATCTTTTATAGTAAAACATGTAATAAACTTGAATGTAAGTGGCATCATCAGATATCATACAGTTTCAAATTCTTTTAGCTTGAACCTGAAGAAAACAGAAGCATCAGCAACCAACTCAGAAATAACCAGAAGTTGATGCTGCCAGTTTTTGAAATAAATAAGAAGTGCATTCTTACACCATCAAGGATCTGATGGCAACTTCATGGCTCTAGCATTTTCATAAAATCTATGATTATATATGGGTTGATGGTTTTTGAATGTCTGTAATACTAGAGATATTTGTTCTTTGGAAAAGAAAAGATGATGGACTCTATTAAGAAATCCAGATTATAATTTTCTCAACTTTGGCCGTTCTTTTTCTCTTTCTCTGCTCTATTGATCACTTTCAAAACTATTATTAAGCCCTTTAAAAATCAGTGTAATTTTTTTTCTTTATCCAAATAAATATACCAAAGAGACTTAATATATTGCATTTGCTAAAATAAGATGTGGCCATAAATATCATTTTGTTGATGAATGAATACAGTGAATAAAGCAAAACTTTTCAGCTATGCCAGGCAGGGAGGTGATTTAGAGCTCTGCCCTTCCAGATCCTTGTTATTCTATGAGACAGTTTTCAAGGTACTTGAATTCTGCTAAACTCATTTTTAAAAAACACTGAGAGAATGCTACACCCGTCATCTATGATTCTAGTTATAAATCTATGTTAAAATAAAATTTTGTGCAACATTCTTCCATTCTCTAAGCTATTTCCATTTGTGTTTCTCCTAGGCATTGTATTAAATTGCTTGATGACATTACATGTACTGAAAAATAAGGTTGTATGTACTAAACTCAGTTGAAAGATTAACTAACATTATTAAAATGTGAAAATTTTTAAAATTTTTTAAAAATGTGAAATATTTTTAAGACAAAACCAACACTTTTCAGTATCACCAAAATCTAAACTGGATAAAAGTAATGTATAAAATGTCTTTTCTTGTACTAGAAAATCTTTCCTACCGAAACAGAGGCTTGTCTTTTTATCTTTCATCTATTGATTAATAAGAAAATGCTTTCATCTCACTAAGCAAATGGAATGTTAAAATTTAGTTTATTTATAAGAAATTGGAGGTAGTGTCAAGTACCTTCCATAAACAAGACAGAAGATTGTTCTTTAATATATTGAAAGTCTGCAAAATATATAAGAAAAGTACCAAGCCTTGCTTGGTGGGGCAGGATGGAGAAGGATCATAAATAGTATGAAAGAAAACTTGTAGAAGAAATGCAAATGGCTATGAATTATATAAAAAGTTGTATCTTCACAGTGATCAAATTTATTAGTCTGTGACCAACCAATAGAAACCATGCATTAATTTAAACATGAGAAGTTTAGTATAAAGAATAATTGTTAAACTCTCGGACATGTTGGCCCATACCTAATAATCCCAGCTACTTGGAAAGCTGAGGCAGGAGAACTGCAAGTTTGAGGCCAACCTGGGCAACATAGTCAGACCTTGACTTAAGAAAACATTTTACAAGGCCTGAGGATATTAGTTCAATGGTAAAGCCTTTGCCTGGTATGTACAAGATCCTGGCTTCAATCCCCAGTACTGCAAAGGGGAAAAAATAATTACTAAGCTATGATAGGGGAGAACTCTAAAAGATACCTTAAAACCAAGGAGGTAAACCTGAAAAAGAAAGAAACATTTCTGAATTCACTAGAAAGGGTGTGATTGTAGCCCACTGGACAAAAGTTTGCTGGTTGTCCAGGTCTCAGAGCTGCACCACACTTGCCAGTGAAAAGGAACAACTCTCTAGGATTTGGACAGCTGAGCATATGGAGGGACTTGGAGTTTTGTTAAAGGTGGGCACAAAGGTCATGGGTGCTGCTCCAGATACTGCTGGACTAGGAACTGGAGGGGCCTCTTGCAGGAGTCTCATGTAACTATGCGTGATTTGGCCTGGGACATCTTCAAGGGTGCATAGGACAAATGTCAGAAAAACAGCTCACGAGATGGCTGGCCATGAAGGCCCCTCTCTGTGAGCCTGCACCTTGCTGAGATGTTTGCCGATAGTAGCCATTGAAGCTAAGAGAACAATCCTGCACTGAGGCTCCAGGTTGTGCCATCACTGGTCAAATCAAAAGCTGAAGAAGCCAACAGAGTCATAGATGCTGAAGAAAGATGCATGATACAGACATCTACCACTGGGAAAACCAGTCTGGGCAGAGTAGTGGAGGAAACTATCTTTTCACCAGGAGCCTCGCCCATGGCCTCTGAGAAGCAGAAGACTTTATCCTTCTGCAGTGCTGCTCCTGCGCCCTCTGCTGACATAGTGTGATGTGACCTGCAAAGGAAATACTTAGGGGCCTGCATCCATTCTCGGGGTGGAAACAAACTGAATTTGGGGTTGAGACAATAAAATAATAAATAGCAGGTCAATAGCATCTACTCAACAAATCATAATGAGATGGACATTCCACCAACTAAAAGAAATATAAATACAAGTCAATGTAATTTTTCTTGAAGAGAGATTATAGTAAATATACAATTTTACTTGTAGATTTTTTTGTAAATTTTACTTCATAGATGTAAAGGCATTTTCCAAATATGATTATTGTACTTTCATTTATTCTGATAAAAGGAAATAAGTCTACATGTTCAAAAAATAGGAAAAAAAGGTTAAAGAAGGAAACAGAGAATATTATGTTTTTTGTTTTTTCTGTTTGGTTTTTTTTTGGTACCGGGGATCGAACTCAGATCCTTGCGCTTGCGAGGCAGGTGGCAGAACCACTGAGCTAAATCCCTGACTAGAATGTTATGTTATTAAGATTGTTTCCAAAAGTTTTTCAAAAGTTTTATAATA